TCGAAGTATGTATGTATGTATGTATGTGCCAGGTTGCAGCCTAAACGAACGGACAGAATCGAACAAAATTTTGACAGGGTATTGCCATGACACCGGGGCCTATAATAGGGTAAAAAATTGGGATTCGACAAGGGGGCAACTATAACTTGGGAACCATAAGTCCCAAGAACTTGAAATTTGGTGTGCAGGCAAATCTACGGTAGGCGCTTTAAGTAAGACATATATAACTGAGAGGAACATCCCATTAGCGTGGAAAATTCGGAATCATATGTCACGTGAAACTGAAATTTGGTACGCAGACGTATCTTTAGTAGGTGCTTATAGTAGGCTATATATAAGTGAGTTTTTAAAAGGGGGAGCGGCACGTCCCATGACCTGGAATGTTTTATCAGCTATAACTCCGGAGCTATAAGTCGCTTGAACTTGAAATTTCGTACGCCGCCATTTTAATGGTAGTTACTTATATTAGGCTATATATAAATGAGTTTGGAAAATAGTGCATGGCACTTCCAATAGGCATGGAATTTTTTATCAGCTATAACTTCGGAACTATAAGTCCCACGAACTTGAAATTTAGTATGCAGATATATCAATGGTAGGTGCTTTTATATAAATGGGTTTGTAAAAGGGGCGTGGCACATCCCATAGGCGTGGAAAATTTTATCAGCTATAATTTCAAAACCATAAGTCAAATTAAATTGAAATTTGGTACGCAAACGTATCTATGGTAGGTGCTTATAGTAGGGTATCTTAATATATAAATATCCCGTGTCACTGTGTTCGTTTACGCTAATCTCCGAAACCGCTTAACTGATTTCAATGAAATTTTGTGGGCGTGTATTTTTGGTTCCAGCTTAAAATATAGGATAGTTGTGAACCCGAGTTCATCGAAATTTTGTCTATGCTTCTCGCATCGTGCTTATCTAATATATGTACATATAAAAATCGAACTCTTCCTAAACAGCTCGACCGACCTTTATGAAATTTTTTGTGTTATATATGGTAGGTATGAGCATCGGATGTAAAGTATATTTCATACCGCTAGGTGCAGGGGGCGTGGCACCTCCCATACAAACCGAATTTTTCATATTGCACATCTCTGGAAGCGTTCATGGTAGACTACTCGAATATGGTGTGGAGATATATGAAAACATTTGCATATTCATGGATAAAAATTGCGGTTATTGGAAAAAGTTACGTGGTACCTCCCAAACAAACCGAATTTTTCATACTGCATATCCCGGAAAATGTTCATGGAAGAGGTCTCGAACTTGGTATGGAGCTATATGAAAGCAATCGCATACTCATGGAGATAAATTGTGGTTATCGGAAAAGCAGGCGTGGCACTTCCCATACACATCGAATTTTTCATACTGCATATCTCTGAATGTGTTCATGGAAGAGTACTGGAACTTGGTATGTACAAGATATGTAAAACCCGACTGGTCATGAAGAAATGTTGGGGCTATTGGAAAAAGGGACGTGGCACCTCCCATGGTAGATTACTAGAAAATGGTATAGAGATATATGAAATCAATCCCATGCTCTTAGAGAAAATTGGAGTTATTTGAAAAGGGGACGTGGAGCCTTTCAAACGCACTGAAACAATTACATATCTTTGTATGCATGTACAGTTTTGCTAAGTTATTTAAGACGGCAAATATGCCTTCTGACAACCACCAAACCGTAATATTAGAAGACAAATGCGTCACTAAAAATCATGAACGTGAACCCTTGGTGAAAATGTTGGTCCAAAGTGTTTCAATACACGGTTAAAAATTTCGGTTTTAATTTTAAACTTTTTGGACTACATATATGACCAAACTACATAAATTCAGTTTCAAATACAAACCTTATATATTAAAAAAAAGGGGGCACATACATATGTTGGGTTTAGAATTTAAACAGTTCGGTTTAAATTTTAAACCCAAACATTTTCATAATTAAGAATAAAAAATAAAAATAAAATTTCGTGCTCCGTCTGATGGGGAGTGAACCCGGACAGCCTTAGTAGCAACCAATTGTATCAAGCAGCTTTGCACACTCAGCTACAGCCACGCATGTAAACGTGCATTCATATGTTGAGTTTGAATCAACACCACATTTTGCTGTGTGCAAACATTTTCTATTTCGGTTTAGATTTTAAACCAAATTTTCTATATATGAAACCTAGAAACTAGAATTAAAACATTTTGGTTTGATTTTTAAACCACGAACTTTTTGGACTAAAATTTGAACCACAAAGCAAAGCTCGAGATCGGCTGTTTGTTTGTAAGAGGATCGCAGAAAAGAAGAGGTTGACTCTCAATTCAGAAACTGAGAAACTTACATATGAACAAGTACAGAAGCTGGGAATAAAAACAGACAATAACTGGTTCGTAAACAACACATATATCGAATCTCCCGAAGAAGTAAAGTGCATACTCTTATTCAGGAGAAAATTCACTTTACCAACTACGAATGCCAATTTCTCACCAATACATAATACCGGAAATGGAACAATTAATGCAATCACTGGTGGAGAATGAAAGAGAAAAGGAGATGGCCAGAAATAAAGAGAGCAACAGAATACTATTATTCACACGCAACATAAAGCATAACGCAGCGAAAAATCTATTTTAGCAGCTTTTTACAAAGCAAAGGCATTTGTAAACCTACACAAAAAAAAAATTTTTCTAATAGTAGGGGAGCCCACGATGCTAAATCGGGATTTACTCGAGAGTCATTTTGACCTATTGGATTTTGAAGGTGACCAGCAAAAAATCGGTTTAGTTGTAAAGTTTTCTACACCCAGAAAAATATCCTCGATTTTTAAGTAACACGATCCATGTTAAATTCACATGAAACAGTTGTACACACGAAACAACAACAATTTTTCCATTTTAACATGATATTTTTAACAGGAAAAAAGTGTTAAGAGTAATATGAAGTATTTTTGGTTAATTTACCAAGATATAGTGTTAAATTTACATGTGAATAGTGTTAAAAATATATGGCAACGTGATTTCTGTTTGTTGCAACCTGAGTTATTGTAAAATTTACATGAGGGTTTTTTTAAATAATGTTGATTCAAACACATAAAGTGTTAAATTTACATTTAGTTGATGTTAAAAAGGTCTGGCAACATGATTTCTGTTTGTTTTGACATGAGCTATTGTGAATTTTACAGGGTATGTGGTTAGAGAACATAAAAGTACCGTAATATTTTATTTGCGTGCGCGTTCTTCGTCATTCGGTTGCATTTTTATTTAGTGTATTATTTGTGAAAGATTATTAAAAAAAGCTATTTAAATATTAAGAAGAATGGGTACAGAAAATGTCTTTGGGGAATCGGCGGGAATATATTTCGTTGTTGATGGTGATTTAACCATGGGGAATGAAGTTGAGACTTCACTGCAGCAAAGCCAAGCCACTGAATCTTCACGTGAAAAAGAAAATTTGAAAGACGTCGTATGTGGTAAAATGAACTTCAGTGAAGAAGTTTATCAAAGACTTCTCGGTAAGTTCTTTGAGAATCTGCGAGGAACCATATGCATATTTATGTTATTGACAGATTGCGGAATGGATGTAGAAAGTCTGTATTTCATCAACGATGGGGACATAAATGAACTTTTCCCTGCATCAATGCTCGGAACGAGAGTAAAGTTTAAAGAAAGAGTTGCACGTTGGCGACAGAATGAAGTAAGTAAATCATTTTCACATCAATGATAAGCTTTGCATACTTTTTTATTTTAAGGCTGATACCATTTCGTCAATAGGATCATGCAAGAGTTGGATAAATTCTAGCCAAGAGTCTCACGACTCGATAAGAGACATGGAAGCAAAGAATTTAAAGTTAATACTTAATGCCACTGAAAGAGGTCAAAGCATCTTTAAACAATATAGAGAAAAGACCGTGCTGTCAGATGTTAGTCGTGACATTTTGGTAAATACCATTGTTGACCACTTCTCAGCGCGATCAGTGCCTATGACAATGAAAGATATCATCACCTTTTCTGAGCAAATAACAATTTTATTTCCCAACGAAGACATGGTATGTATGCATTTTCATATTCACTTGCTATCAAAATTTGTAAATACATATGTAAAGGAGGATCAAGTTTGAAGCGGATAAAAAATAGCACTGATTTTTAATAATTTTTTAGCTGACAGATTTTTGCCCTTTTTTCCTTATAAGCATGAATTTCTTACGAAATAAAAAGTGGAAGAAAGTTCGAAACTCTGATTTATATGGTTTTGGCTAAAGCTTGGATACAATTTTTATAGAAAAATAACAGAATAAATTTAGCTTGAAAAACGTTGTGAATATTAAAAAAAAAAAAATTCAACACTTAAATGCATTTATTTTACTTTTATTTAGCGCTATTACTGCAACCGTCGAAATGGCAAGAATCCAACAGGCAAACTTTATGATAAGGCAACAAACATCCGAAGGAAAATAAAAAAAGAAACAGGAGCACTAAGCGTTGCACCTAAATGTCAACCCACTCAATCAAGTTTGTCGGAGCAGGCGAGCAATAGTAAATTTAATTTTACAAAAACGTACTTATCTATGTACGTGTATGTATGTATATACCACTATATTTGGCCCACAGTTTCGTGAGTATATTGATTGCTTCGTGGGTTTCGAAATTTTTTTGTTTTTGTCGCACGGTGCAATACCTACACGTACATACATACAAAAATAAGTACATACACATGTAAGGAAAAACCATGATTAATATTTCCTTCGATTAGCAGATGAAAATGACTTAGCCATGAAAAATTGGCTTTGTCATAATGTAGAGCCTTGGGGCGATGTTGTAGAAAAATGGACGAACACAGTCAAATTAAGAACCGCAGAGATTTTAAATGAACACGCAAATATTTTAACTAATTGGCCGCTGCTGAAACACAGTCTTGGATACACTTTGGTAAGTTTAGCTTTATATATGTACCTATTTTAAATTTTCTTATTTATGATATAAAACTTTGGAATTTGTATATTTTCAATTATACTGCAGGTTGAAATTGATTTTGAAGCGAAATTTCCCAACTGTTCGCAGAATTTGCTAAACGAATGGCCAAAATTTAGAAAGTCAATTATACCTTACATGAAGACAAAAATAAGAGATGCAACGTCCATTGATATGCTAAAAAAAATTGACGAAAACATCAGTACTGGTAAAGCAACAAGTCTAATATTTATTTTTTTAAGTATTTATTTTATTTTCTTATGCAGACTCAATGGATTGTTTATTGACACTGCTTTTGCATGCGATACTTAAACCGTCATTAATTTCCGTTGGACAAACTTCTGGTGAAAAACGGCTTAAATGGAAGCCATCAATATGTGATGCGCAAGCAGTGACATTGCTGCATTGCAGCAGCATAAACGATTATCGGAGGATGTACCACGAATTAAAGATTAAGTTAAATCAAAAGAATCTTCCTCTTCAGCCGCTACTATTGGTAGTCGGAGAGAAACTAACTCAGTTAGACTCTTTTTACGTTATTTTCGACAGTATAATTTACAAGGTACCGACATTTTTAAAATCACTTGATACTTTATTTAAAATCTTTCATGTATTAAATTTGGAATATCCGATACAAGCGAAATCCATATATAATTTTATCGAATCCTACTTTTTTGGCATTGCGGATTGTGCACACCCTAATGTTATTACACTTAAGAATTATTTAAAAGATACTCAAAACTTGTTGGAGTAGATTGATAAAATGTTCAAATGCTTTATATGTAACGAAAGGTCTTCTACATCAAAATTGTTAGGTGACCATTTGAAATCTTTCCATGTTTTTGCTGAGATAAAAAATTTTGTTTGCACTTTCTCTAAATGTGGTCAATGTTTTTCAAACGTGTATAGTTTTCAAAATCACCTACGTAGAGTTCATGCGTCGTTGCCAAGTACACCTGCTGTATCTTATCATGCACCTGTTTTTGTTAGGCCTAATATTACTAAAGGGCAGACTAATAAATTAAGTTCTAATTTTAATAATACAACGCAAAAAAAATTTAATATGAATATGTTTGTATTGTCTCTACATAACAAAACTTAAACCGAAATTTCATTTCCTTGTTCATTATTTCACTGCCATAAAAAAATGCGGCCCATTAAAAAATGTGTGGTGCATGAGATTTGAAGCTGTACACAAAATATTCAAAACGTACGCTAATTCAATTAATTGCCGTGTAAATGTTCCATGGAGTCTTGCGATTAAAGCCGCATTGAAATTTGCATATAGCTTGAGTAACGAACGTTTTTTTTCAACCAGATTTAAATATAAGCGCTAATTCTGTATTACCTAGTACTTTAAGCTTTAAATACAATTCCGATTTTCAAAGAGAATATGAATTATCTAATTATCAATTTTATTCAAAAGTTACTTTTAAAGGATTTTTATTTAAAAGAGGGTTTTTTGTTATTGTAAAACAGGAGGCTATATACTTGTTTCAAATCGAAGATACTGTTGTAAGTTTGATGCAAAAACTTTTCTTTATTTGTTCACAGTGGGAAATTATAAATTTCAGTACACATATTCAGTCATACTTGGTAGGTGAAAAATCAGATAGTTATAGTTTTATAAGTGCAGACAAAATTAGCTCACCTCCTGTACATATTCATATTCTTCAAAACAATCAAAAAGCAATCCGTTTAAAAAGTATTTAAAACAATTTGATACAGTTTTTATGCAGAGCTTAGAAAAACTCAACAAATTTTTATAAAAATTGTGGACTTTTAAAA